CTCTGGCAGTTCAGGAGCCTCAGGGATGTCCAACTGCCGTGGAGGTGGGAAAGGCTCCCACCACCACAGCTGCACTCGCCAGCCTTGAGCCCGGCTTCTGGCTGAGAAGCGCTCCCCCTGTGGGAGCGCACTGACCACCAGGGGGCAGCTCCTGTGTTGAGCATCTGCCTCCTGGTGGTCAGTGCACGTCATAGTGACCAGTCATTCCAACGTTCGGTCGATTTGCATATTAGCCTTTTATTACATAGGAGGATGTTACTTTTTTTTTCTACACTTTATTATAAGAAACTTCAAACTCTTGTCCTCAGTTATTTCAGGAAAAATCAACTCTAAAGTGTGTAATTTTTACTTTCCATATTGAATACTCTGAAACTAATTTTCCTTAATAAAAGTCAAAGTTATAGCAAACTTCATCTTTCAAGCACCTATAATATAAACAAATTCAAGGAATAAAGAAAGCAAAAAAGGGACAGACTTTACCTTTTTCATAAACTACAGAATCCCACTATTCTTATCCGGAATACTTAGGAGCTCAAACGTTTGAAGCCTAAGCACTTCAATTAAGTATTTTAACTTCTTGTTTTGGTTACTTCCTTAACCAAGAAGCTAAGTGAAAATTTCCAAGGGATTTCACAGAAGAAGAAGAAAAAAACGCCCCCTAAATAATCAGTGGCTCTATTCTTTCATTTGGCAAACATCTATCTATTCAGGATCTACTAAAGTGCAGGGCTCTGTAACATTGGGTCACTTGCAAAGTAGGTGCTAATCAGGGTCCAAAAGCAACAACTGATAGAGGATCAAGTGCAGCTTCAGGAAAAGATAAAGGGAGTGGGGGTTTCAAGCTTCACAACAGCACGGCAAAGGCACAGTCTAATCATTCAAGAAACTCCAGCGTGTGGGAAGCCAAGCAACTGTGCGGATGGCTCCATGCTCTTTAACGTGTGCTTGTTTGTTTGTTTGACTCTCAACTCCCTGGTCCTATGCTGACCTCTGTGCACGCTCTTCTTTGAACGTTTCTTCATTCACTTGCCCATTCATTCACCCACGATTTCTTGTGCCAGACACCACTGTGGGATGGTATTGGCATCAAGACCAGAAAGGCGCCTGTTTTCCTGGAGCTGCCTGGGATGAGGGCGGGGCATTCCACATACAACGTGCAGGTCAAGATACATTGTGAAAAGAATAGCGGCTACGAAGAAAAACAGGCTAAGTCTGGGGGAGGGACTATGTTGTATAGATATTGCTCCCCGTGCCCAGAAGCATTGGAACCACCCCGGGAGTCCCCACAGCACTGACTAGTATCACTCTGAACAGTAAATACCACACTCCACGAGCACCCAAGACTACGTAAACGAGCAGTCACCTGAGACTGGCTTTTCCTCCGCCTGGCACATAAAGATGCATTCAGAACACATTAGCGAGAAGTAAATACGCTGTGCACGAACGGTGGCTGAATGAATGAATGGAATGAACGAAAACATTTCTACAGTCAAGGCAGCTGGAGAGATGCGCTCCCGAGGCCTAAGTAAGCCACAGGTGAGGCCTAATTCGGCCACGGGTCGCCCAGCGCAGGAGACACCACACCTCCCCGCGGGCGCCGCAACGACGTGGACAAAAATATGCCCCGCGGGCTAGGGACGCGCGTCCCGGGAGGACGGATGCCGGCCGGGCCGGGCCGCCCCGCGTCACTGCCGCGAATGCCGGCGGAGGAGTTCCAGGCAAGGAGTTTGGAAGAGGGGCCGCGCGCCCCAGCTCTCCGGCCATTCTCCACCCCCAGGCCCCAAACGGATCTCTTTCCCGCCTCCCGCTTAACTCCGTCGGCGCCGGAGGGGGCGAGGCAGGAAAGGAGGCCTGCGCCGAGCTGCCGGAGCCCGGGAGAGGCCCGCAGGTGGGGACTGCTGCAGCCAGGCCGAGGGAGAGCTTACGTTTTCGGGGGAAAGACGTTCGTAGGAATACTCACCCCAACGCCTCTAGTGTGTCCAGAACGTCTCCTTCCATCGTGGGTTCGGGACCCGGCTCCGGCCCTCTCATGGTCCTCCGGGCAAAAGCTGTTCGCCGCTCTAAGGAGCCCGCCGGAAACCGGCGTTGCCGCGCCAAGGTTCCGGTCGGGATCTTGACTAGGATTGCCTGCAGCGCCTCTGACTGGGAGCCCAAAGGTTCCCGGCCTGGAGGCAGTCTGTACTCAGACGGCTTTATTTAAAATAATAATAGAAATAGTAATAAAAAGCGTTAGTTCTTATCTGTGTGGAAGTCAATCTTAGCAAGCATCGGGATTCCACCTGAGTTTTTCTCAATCTATCAGACTCCCAGCCCTCTCTTTTTATAACAAAAATCCCGAAATAGAATAATAATTATCTTGAGCTAAAATAAGTACGTAATATCATGTATCTACACATATAATTTTTACATCAATATACACGGCAATGCTCCAAGTTTAAGAAATAAGGGGCAGCTAATTTATACTTATATTGTTTTATTACAAAATGTGCAAGATCGATGAAGCTATCAGATGTTTGCATCTATCTGCAGAATCTTATACACAATATGTGTCCTATTGCTGATAAAGTATAGGTGAATTGTATAAGACATTAATAAAAGTTGCATGTCGCCATCTTAGAGTATTCACTAAAAGAATAATCAAATGTAAAACTTATAACTAACAACTAAGAGAAGGGGGAAACAGAATAATGAAAAAAAAACATAAGACTAAATCTAAAAACGGGATATAAAGAAAATAAGTTTAAACCATAAGATAGTGGGTAGAAATATTAACATCAGAAAAAATAGCTGCTAATGCAGGCAGCATCAGAGAGACATAAAGAGGGACATTTCATAATAACAATAAAAGTATCAAAACCACAGGAGGCTATAACAATCCTAAATGTTCATTTGCTTAAATAACCAGGCTCAAAATATAACTAAATGAACTTAAATGAGAAATATGCAAACCCAGAGGGGAAGATTTTAAACACATCTCTAATTGCTTGATGAAACAAATAGTTTTTAAAAATCAGTGGACATACATGAGACTTGGAAAACATCATTTACATATTTGACCTAATTGATATATGTAGATCACTCCTCCCCAAACTTCAGAATATGCATTTTTCAAGTGCACAAGTGTCATTTATAAAACTTGACTTCAGACTGTACCTGAAAGTAAGTCTCATCACATTTAAAGACTGAAAGCATGCTAGTAAAAGGCACTTTTTCTGACTACAGTAGAATTAAACTAGGAACTGAAGCCATGACAATGAGGCCTTCAGTCTGTAGGCACAAGGAAGGCAGCAGCAACTGACTCCACAAACCACTTAATAACACAAGCTATTGCTAGGGCCACGCTGGCCAGAACACAATGCACATGTGTAGCTCTAGATGGTGCATAAACTAAATCCAGTCAGTTCAGCCCTGCTGCATTCAGAGCCACTTGCACCCCTTATTATATCTGGGACTAAATACCCTCCCTTCTTCCCTGATAGGAGAGATACATGACCAATCTGTCAAGAGAGTGGACACTCCAACCTCCTCAAAAGCCTTTAAAATGGTCAGCAAACCAAGCTAGAGTCCTTGATGATACAGCTAGTCCAAGCTATAATGGAGGCCCATCCTCTTCCTCCTCCACACCTATTACCTATTACCCACACTCTTGACCAGAATTTCAGTATTCTGGGTTGACAGCCATGTTTGCTGAAATTAACCAGTTTTGGTCAGAAAAAAGGACAAGGGTAACCAGAGATACCGCAGTAAGATCTTGGATTTCAAACAAATTCCTGCCTCCACTGTGTAGCAGCAACCTGAGATGTTCATGATAAATAGCTATGTCAGTAAAGTAACTATTCTTTGCCTGCAAGTTCACTAGTATGTAGAGCCAAGCTTGTAAAAGGATAGTTGCCACAGTCAACATCTTCCCACCCTGGAAGCCAGAGTCTCTAACCCATAAGAGCCCAAAGTTTTAGAAACAGTGAGCACAAATTCTATATGAGTGTCCTTAGGCAAGATGGTGAGGGAGCCAATTCTACTTGTTCCCTTTAGTTCCTGGGCCCACATTTTCTAGCAAAGGAGCACACC